TGGTATTTTGTTATGCCCAGCAAATTAATATAGGAGCTTACTCAGCATTCCTCACGTTTTCCTTATTCCCAGGATGACCCGTTCCTCTTGTCTTCATAGGAAGTTTAACCCATCCTCCAAGGCCAACTTAAATGTTATCTCTCCTGTGCAACTTTTCCTAATTTTTTGCATTCCCCACCCAGCAAATTAATATAGGAGCTTACTCAGCATTCCTCACGTTTTCCTTATTCCCAGGAAGACCCGTTCCTCTTGTCTTCATAGGAAGTTTAACCCACCCTCCAAGGCCAACTTAAATGTTATCTCTCCTGTGCAACTTTTCCTAATTTTTTGCATTCCCATATTTTGACGTATTTGTATTATAGTACTTTTTACATTGTGTCAGTGTCTGTCTCTTGTACTCAATTGTGATTTCCTTAAGAAAGTCCATCTTTGAATTCTCAATACCTAGTTTAATCCTGTGGAATGCGTGGACGGATGCCTGAATGGACGAGTGAATGAGTGAATGAGACAGTTTCTCCTTAAGATGCTGCACTCCCTGCTGCCCTCTGGTGGCTACTTGTTCTCCGTCACTGCACCCAAGGTGGGATGCGGATATGCTCTCAGCAGTATCTCAGCTCTTCGTGCTCTCCTTCACATGACTTGTTTTGCAATTTATGCAAAACTTCCTTCTCTATTTCGGTATTACTATACTCTACTCCTCTTATTTCATCATCTGTCAACCAGCTGGTCATTCACCGAGAACTTTTCTATCAAGACCACAGTCCTTCTCTCTACCCTAACACTGGTGACTTCCAAGCCATGTAGATCATCCATCTCAGACACATATATTTGAAACTTCTTCCGCAACAGTGATAGGTTATCTATATCCCACTTCAGGAACTCATTAGTTGGCCACACTCAGACTTTAACATCAAAAAAAACCATTTTCATCTCTCACCCCTGCCAAAGATGTTCACATCCAAATCCCCAGAACCTGTGATAAGTTACTTTACTGGGCAAATGAGACTTTGCAGATATGATTAAGCCAAGGTTGTCTTGAGATGGTAAGATTATTGTGGATTATCAGAAAGGGCACAATGTAATCACAGGGTCCTTATCAGAAGGAGGCTGGAGAGACAGAGTGGGAGAAAGAGGTGTGCCAGCAGAAGCAGAGGTCACAGTAATGTGGGGCCATGAGCCAAAGAAAGGTGGGCAGCCTCCAGAAGCCGGAAAGCTCAGGAAAGCAGGTTTTCCCTTAGTGTCTCTAGGAGGAACATAGCCTGCTGACGCAGTTTAGACCTCTGAGTGTAAGAACTGTAAGAAAACAAATTTGTGTTCCTGCAAACCACTAAGTTGGTGGCAATTTGGTAGAACAGCAGTAGGAAATGAACACAGACTCCAACAGACCAATCTCTAACCACAGACCTTTGCTCTTCCACCTCCCTCACTCCTTTTTCTGGCAAACCTAACCCTTCTCTCACAATTCATTCTCTCTCTCCTAGCTCCATTTCTTTTCCCAGACATCTAGACACCATGGTTTTAAATTTTAACAGCTCTCTTCCCAGGATGTGAAGGTCTTAACCACATATCCTTTCACTTCATCTGCCTTGATATTCCCAGTGTTCCAACAGACCAGCCTCCTGCTTGCTTCTCTCCCATGCTGAGGATACTGAACACCTCAAGAGAAGAATCAACAATTTATATTGGCACCACTATGAATGCGTGATCTTCAACCTCAGCCAGGTGCTCGTGCCTCTTCCTCTCTCGCATGGCCTCCATCAGCCCCTCCTCTCTTCCTCACAGCAACAGTTCTGCACCATCACCTCTTCTGCACTCACCTGCCCCAGCACCGCACCTCTCTTGAGTAGGTTACCTTCTTTTCTGCTTTTGGGAGAACACTAACGTGTGTCATGGGCTGATTGAGCATGGCCTCTCGTCGCAGTCCCCCTTGCTCTGATTGTCCCTGTCTGTTTCTCTCGTGCATGCCTCTGCCTAGAAGTCCTTCCCTCCCTTTGCCCCCTGCTCTCTCTATCCCACAGTTTTCTCTGCGAGCCACACCCTATTACCCAGTTGATCACCCTCCTTTTGTGTTCCCATTTGATTGTTCATACTTCAATTGCAACTGTCACAACACATCCCACTAAATACATGATACTGTTTAATTATATTTATCTATTTATGTGTCTCTCTCCTTTAACTAGACTGAGAGTCCCTTGAGGTGAATTACTGTGTCTTACTTGACTTGTTATCCCCATCACTGTAGCACTATGCCTTTAATGTTTTGAGAAACAGTAAGAAGGAAAGGCCTCACAAGATGGTGTGGCCAAACAGCCAGCCTCCCCTCACCATGCACACACGCCACCGCACATCAGTCCTGAGTCTCACTTCCTCCCAGTGATTAATTTGTTTGGAGACTGAGGCCTGCCCCAGACCCCTAGGCAGAAGCTCACCCCCATCCAAATGACAAGTGCACATCCATCAAGTCTGTTTCAGAATCAGGAAGGCACTCTTGGCTACCTCGGTGCTCCAGGCCATCTGGTCAGGTGGCACAATGCCCACTTACAAGGTCAGTTCCTTACTGTCCTGAACATTCTGGATTATGCTGTACAGCAAACTTTCTTTCTGAACCACCACAGGAAGTCTTTAGCAGCATCGTTACTTTCCATTCACTCTTCCATTTTACTTCCCAGCTAAGTAGCAGGGATATTTACCCAGAGCACTGTTGTCATCTTGAGTGCCCTTGAGGACAACAGAATGGTCTAGGAGAGCAGAGAGAGCCAGAGTCTACTTCTCACGTTCCTTTTCTGTGGGAAGGAGAGCAGCAGTGAAGTGGTATGTGCTGTGAAAACAGGGACCAGCATTCTGGGATTGCAGAGACGTGCCCAGTCTGTTTAGTGGACACTTTGATCCTAAATCAAACCATGTGCTTTAGAAGTAATTAGTCATAAACCATGGCTCACAGCTAAATGATGATTCCTTTTGCATTCAAAAGAAATCTTTACATCAACAGTAGAAATGATGAGAGAAGAATCCACTTCTTTGTTGATACAGTCTTAGGTGGGAGTTTGCCTGCAGATTCCTTTAAGCATCTACAGAATCATGCTATAATAATGAAAGGCTGCTTAAGTGCTGTAATAATGAAAAGCTGCTTATGGCAAAGAGAATGCTGAAGGTGGGCGACCATGAGCTCTATGCAAGTGATGTACGTCCTGGGCCAAAATAAAAAGAATGGCCTCACTGCAGACAGAACTCCTAAGGACCAAGAGGGAAAGGAAGCTGGCCTCACAAAAAATGGACAGACTTTTACACATGCTCAGTGCTTCTGTCAGATATTTTAACCTTCCTACAGGTAATTCTGTCTGTGTAGACAACTGGAGGCAAATTTACTAAATGTGAAAACAATCAGACATAGAGCATATTCAGAAGCTCAGATATCCATGTTAGAGAATTATCTGAAAACACACCTCTACCTCTGCCTTCCTCTCCTATGTATTTGGGGATGAAAGAAGCAGAGATGAGGGAGGTGGACAGAAAGAAACTCTCATCCTTGAAGATTCGGCATAAAGACTGCCTTCTCTATGAGCTTCCTCTTAACCACTGCAACCCACGGTGATCTTTTCTTTCCCTGATTACCTATAAGATTTTGTATTTCACTATATCCCTACTGACTTGTATTGTTCGATATCCGTTTGTGTTCAAAGAACTGGTCTCCCCGATTAGCCATGAGGTCCTTGAGGACAAGGACTGCTTTTACCTATAAGATTTTGTATTTCACTATATCCCTCCTGACTTGTATTGTTCGATATCCATTTGTGTTCAAAGAACTGGTCTCCCCGATTAGCCATGAGGTCCTTGAGGACAAGGACTGCTTCTGTTCCTCCACAGCAGATGCTCGAAATATTTGATTGCAAAGCTAATGCAACCAGTAAATAACCCCAAATCACAAATTGATTTGGTGATAATACAGTAAATGAAATGTTGGAATAAACTTGTCTCTTTATTATGCTCAATGCCTTCTGCAATTCCTGAGAACCAGTTAGGTGGGCTGTGTATTGGGGTGGCTGATTTGGTGATAATACAGTAAATGAAATGTTGGAATAAACTTGTCTCTAAATTATGCTCAATGCCTTCTGCAATTCCTGAGAACCAGTTAGGTGGGCTGTGTATTGGGGTGGGGAGAGCAAGATTCGGGGAAAGTGGGTTGGATGTTAAAATCCTTCAGGCCAATGAAATATGCCCTTCGTGGGCTTAAAATATTATTGAGCTTCCCTAGGCAGTAAGGGATGTTTGTAGACTTCATTCAATAATTAGAGCTGAAACGTGTTTTAAAAGCTCTGGAAGTCCGAGTCTTTGCGGATCACTGTCGCAAGGCCTCTCTCTGTTGGGGGCACTTCGGGATTTTCGCCAGCCCTCCAGGAGCACCGGCTCTGCACGCGCTCAGGTAGGGAGACCAGTGCGCACGGGTGCCGTCGCGGCGGCTCCTCACCGCCAGGGGGCGCCGGGCAGCGCCGCTCCTCCCGGAGCGCGGCCGCTCTCCCGGCATGCCTCGCTCCAGCCGACGTCGACCCGGAAGTTGTCGCCGTCGGCCGGCCGCAGCTCTGACAGAGCCGGAGTCTCGGAGCGCGGTGGCCGGGGCCACCCGAGCCTGCGGTGGCTGCGGGCCGAGGCCGGCGGAGGGGAGCCCGGTGAGTCCCGTCCAGGGCAGGGCTCAGTCTGGGCGCGCGGCCCCGGCGGCGTGGGATCCGTCCCCGGCCGGCCTTGGGAAGGCCGCATTTTTCCTCGAAAGCAGCATCTCCGCAGAAAGGGGCGGGTTTGAGGGCTCTGTTGGCGGTAGCGAGGGGGAGAAGCAGAGCCGCCGCTGTCGCTTTGCAGTGCCTGCAGGACTTCGCGGGCCCGGAGCCCCGGCCGGTTCCTCGAAGAGCGCCCCAGCTTCCTCGTATCTGGGACACAGTTCTTGCCCCCTTTCCTAATTCTGAAATAAAACAGAAAGAGACTGTCATCGGGGGAAGCCACCTGGTCCGTTCAGCCATGAAGGCAGAGTCAGCGCTCCCGTTCCCAGAGACCCCAGCTGGGCCCAGCTCTAACCTCAGTAATCTGTTGAGTGGCCGGAAGCTGATGGCTGTGGGGGCGTTGCTCGGCTGGCTCCTGGTCATCCACCTTCTGGTCAATGTGTGGCTTCTCTGCCTTCTGTGTGCATTGCTCGTGGTGCTGGGAGGATGGTTGGGCCCCAGCGCCATTGTGGGGGCTTCAGGTCGACTGCACCTGGAACGCTTTATCCCAATGACCACCTGTCCTCCGTGCCCTGAGGCAGAAAGACAGCTGGAACAGGAGATCAATTGCACCATCCAGATGATTATTCGGGATTTTGTGGTATCCTGGTATCATTCAGTGAGCCAGGAGCCAGCCTTTGAGGAAGAGATGGAGGCGGCCATGAAAGGGTTGGTTCGTTGCACCATCCAGATGATTATTCGGGATTTTGTGGTATCCTGGTATCGTTCAGTGAGCCAGGAGCCAGCCTTTGAGGAAGAGATGGAGGCGGCCATGAAAGGGTTGGTTCAGGAACTTCGAAGAAGGATGGGCATGGTGAACAGTCATGCTCTTGCCCAGAGGATTCTGACTCTCTGTGGTTGTCACCTGCAGAGCTACATTCAGGCAAAGGAGGCCACGGCAGGGAAGCAGAGTGATCCAGTTGAGCCCTCCCAGTTCTGGGAGGCTTACTGCCTGACTAGCGCCCCTCATCCTGCTGTGCACAGCCCCAGTGCTGAGGTCACCTATACTCGTGGCATTGTGAATGTGTTGCTTCGAGGGCTAGTGCCCAAGCCCCACTTGGAGACTAGGACTGGACGCCACGTAGTGGTTGAACTCATTACTTGCAATGTAATCTTGCCATTGATCAGCAAACTCTCAGATCCTGACTGGATCCATCTTATACTCGTAGGTATCTTTTCCAGGGCCAGAAATGATCCAGCACAAGTGGCTAAACCACTCTGCCCAGCTAGTGTCCTGGAGCAGCCTTCAGTGCCCACTTCTCTGCCACTGATTGTTGAGGTAGAGAGTCTGCCAGAAAGAAGAGCCCCTTCTCCAGTACCAGCCTCGGTGTTCCTAAACTTCAGTGAGCCAGAGGGGCCTTTAGGCCCCTCTCCAGAGGTAGAAGAAAGCCATGGAGCTGTAGCGGGAAATTTGGGTGAGATGCCTGAAGAAAAAAGAGTAGGAAACAACTCATCTCATTTCCTACAGCCAGATATTCGAGGCCCCCTTTTCTTATGTGAAGACTCAGAGCTGGAGTCTCCACTCTCTGAACTGGGCAAAGAAACTATCATGCTCATGACCCCAGGCAGCTTTCTCTCTCACAGGATTCAGGATGCCCTGTGTGCCCTAGAGGGTTCCCAGGCTCTGGAGCCTAAGGACGGTGAGGGATCCGAAAGCACTGAAGGAGCAGAGGCTGAGGAAGGTCCAGGGACAGAAACAGAGACAGGACTGCTGGTCTCCATGCTGAACTCCTGCCCAGAGATCCAGATTGACACAGCAGACAAGGAGGTAGATCAAGGAGATGTCACCTCTCTTACAGCTTTGCTGGAGGGATCAGAAAAAACTTACCACCAACGACCCTCATGCTTAGAGAAGGATCTTGCCAATGGCGTGAGCTCCCTCGATCCTAGTCTGCCTCCAGTTCTGCTTTCGTCCTCTCCACCTGGTCCTCTCAGCTCAGCCACCTTCAGCTTTGAGCCTCTGAGCAGTCCAGATGGCCCAGTTGTCATCCAGAATCTTCGTATCACTGGGACCATTACTGCCCGAGAGCACAGTGGCACTGGATTCCACCCATACACACTCTACACCGTGAAGGTAACAGGATTAGAGCAGTAGTAGCCCACCCTGGGATGGGAATGGGTTTGGAAAGCAGAGTCAATGAAAGTAATGTTCTCTGGGGAGAGAGACATTTGCTGTGTTTAATTCAAGTATCTATATGTGAATGGTTTGAAACTAATATGTAAGGCAGAGTAGGCTGTTATCCCAAATGCACACAAACAATCCTAGAATCTCAGTTAATATAATACTGAGGGTCATAGTTTTTAGTGGTTCCCAAACTTGGCTGCACCTCAAAATCACTTTAGCTGCTTTTTAAACATACAAATTCTGACCGATGGATTCTGAAGGAGAATTTCTAAGGATGGGTCCCAGGATTCTGTATTTTTTAAAAATAGAACACTCCAGGTAATGGGGAGGCAGTCTGTCCTAAGGCCATTTTGGGGAAACTGCTACTGTATTCTAACCAGTCCTCTTCATATCATCTACCAAGTGGTTCCCAAGTCCGTGCTTAAACACCTCCAGGAATACTACTTGTTCCCTTATGGAGGTAAGTAACCTGCCTTCCTAAAACCAAGTACACAAGATATTAGTGTTTTTAAAAAGAAAGTAAGAAATTAGTGGGGAAGAAGCTTAGAAAGAGAGTTCTTAGGGAAGACCCTATCCATTGGATTTTACTTGCCTTCTCCTTGAATTTCTCTCATTCTGAGTCAAAAAGCTACCACCAGGCATAAGCCTGAGTCCTGCACTCTTCCACATGAAATCTTAATCCAAATAAGTAGGAGCAGGCTTTCCCTGATCTACTGAACACAGCTGCAGCATGACCTAGCATTTTCAAAAGTAACTTTATGACATTTTCAAGTGAGACAGGATGGAAATAATTAGAAACACACTCTCTCTATCTCTCCTTATAAAACAGGCAAGTTTAGAAGTACAGATGTCTGGTCATATAGCTAAGGCTAGCCTCAAAGAATTGGTATAACATTAACATTTTGCCTGCCTTTTTGCTCCCCTAATTCTGGTGTCCCTATGACATATATCTTTCTCACATGTAAGTTTTGGCTTCTGGTTATTTCATCTTCTATTTATGACATACTCCAACACTGATATTAAGCAAGTTTTTTCCTCGTTAGCAGAAAAATTAAGTTAATGGATAGAATTTTCAAATTCATAGTCTTTCTCCATTATTTATTCTTTTTTTTTGTTGCTAAATTTCAACACCTCCTACTGTTTACTCTGAGTAAGCATTAGGGAAAGGTAAAGTGAAAAATGAACAATGAAATTAGCCAATTGTTTGTAGTTTGAGATTGGGTTTAGATTTTTATATGGATGTATAACTATGACTTAAATTGTATATTATACTTTGTGATAGTAAAACAGTTATCAGTTTATATGATGGAAGTAAACATCAGTATTGAATGTTGTCCCTCAAGGAGTGGGGTATTCCACAGAAAGCATTATAACTCCCAGGTGCTCCAGGTTTGAGAGTCCTGCACTGAATTCCACCTCTCTCTCTTACCTCGGCCTTTCCTTCTCAGTTTGATCTGAGGGACTACTTTGCTCACATCACCTCATGATGAATATCTCTCCCTCTCTGGTTCTAGAAAATTTTTAAACAGCAACCTCAAGTCCTGCCAACAAGGAGGTAGTTTTTTCCATCATTTGCACAAAGCCTAATACTTCAGCCAAACAATAACAATAACCTACTCTTGATAAGAACAAGCACATATCTAGCTCTTCCAGACATATCTAGCTCTTCCAGAGTACCAAACAATAACAATAACCTACTCTTGATAAGAACAAGCACATATCTAGCTCTTCCAGAGTATTGCATTGTAGCTTAACTGCTCTGTGAAAAAGTTTTCCTCTCTACCAAGGTGCAGCTTCCATGTTGTTCAGGGTGTTCACTCTTTGGGAAAGATGAAATACAAATCATCTTTTCCCACATAGTAACCCTGCAAGCATATGAAGGCAGCCGACTTTGACCCCTTCCAACATCTCCAATCTTGACATGATTTCTAATGATACAGTGATATATACTTATTTAGGAAAAAATTTTTAGTTTTGCTGTAGGAATAACAATTAGGAAGATTAATCTGCCCAAAGCAAAACAAAAACACATGTCTCTTTAATTTATTCCAGGCAAACAAATGATTTTTGTTCATCTGCTGTTTGGGATTATTTGTTTTTCCCGCAACTAATCTAGGTAATCACTGGTTGAGTGTGATGGCAAAATGGTTTTCTCCTTACATTATCCAGCCCTGTAGCTTAGGAATAATAGAGGCAGTATCATTTTTATAGGTGTTATGCCTTCTGTTTTTTACTCAGTCTTTGGGATTTGAAAAATAGTTATGTAGCAATTTTTATAAGTAAAGAAAATGTCTGGGGGAGGAGGCTTTCCAGTGGAAATAGTAGTGGGGAGCAGTGAAACTCTTTTCTGACTTTCTGGACCATATATATTAGGAAGGGCACATCATTACTTAATTCAGCCACCCTTGAAGTTTGAGTTATTCATTACAACTCAGTAGCAATCAGATATAGGAAGTTTGGAACAGAATAGTAATATCTCTCTGCCTTTATCCCTACCTACTCTACTCTTATTGAAGAAGTAGTCATTAAAACTAGAATAGAAGACTGACTAAACCTGGCTAATTCAGTTGATAAATTTGTTCATTCAACAGTATGAGACAGCCCTTAACAGTGAGAACAGCAGCGGCCTGCAGCAGTTGGCCTACCACACTGTGAACCGCCGCTACCGGGAGTTCTTGAATCTGCAGACCCGTCTGGAGGAGAAGCCAGATCTACGAAAGTTCATCAAAAGTCAGGAGTTTCCCCAACCACGACTGCCTGTTTGCTTGCTTTTCATTTCTAGCCACCCTGATCTGAGAGCTTGGTGGCCTGTGGATTATGGGGAGGGGTGGAGGAGGAGAATGCAGCATTGAGGTTCTCTGCTCCCCAAGTTTGCTTCAGGAGTTTTGGGTTTTAGTGCTGGACAGCACTGATCACGTTCTCTCTGAGGTTGTTCTTCGCTGCTAAATTTTTTTGTTCTGGAGCCCCATCTAGTTTAAGCCTGTAAAAGAAGTGTTCACATTTCCACCTATGCCCATAAAGTAGTGTGAGGAGTTCAATTAGCAATAGCTAATTCTGAGACAAACTTGAAAATATGTGCCAGGTCCTCTTCTAAGCACTTTACCCATGATAGCTTGTTTAATCCTTATAATAGCTTATGTGTTAGGTACTATCATTATTCTCATTTTATAGAATAGGAACAAAGTCTCAGAAAGATTATACAACTTGCCTAAGGTTATCATAGTAGGGATTGGAACCAAAATTTAAACTTGGGCCATGGGACTTCAGAGCCTTCGCTTGTAACCACCTTAGTATATGGCCTGTTAATATTAATAATGAGAGTAGGTTGTATGTATTATATCCTTGGGATATATTTGGAACTCCTGAAATTTAAAAAAAAAAAAAAAAAGTCCCACGGAAATATAATTCAGTAGTTCCAGTAGTTCTGTTCTCTTTATATGTTTGATGTCTTATGTAGAATAGCTCAGAGAATTTTAAATGAATTTTTTTTTTTTTTTTTTTTTTTTTGGGAAGATGTGAAGGGTCCTAAAAAACTCTTCCCAGACCTTCCATTTGGAAACATGGATAGTGACGGAGTAGAAGCCCGTAAGAGCCTCCTGGAATCATTCCTAAAGGTCAGCATCCTTCTATTTGGGCCTTGCTCTCATTTTAACCCCCAGACATTTATGCCAAGGTGGAAGGATCTGGGGACTGGAATTTATCTTTAAAATTCTTCCTATGTTTTACTTTTGCAGCAACTCTGTGCCATTCCTGAAATCGCTAAC